GCAATATACATATTATGGAGAATTTAGACAGATGCAGGAAATATGCTGCCAATTTTTTTTCAACAGCACCAGAACATCTTACATATCAGTTGCACGTTTCATTTATTATGCTTTCAAATTGTATGATTACGCTTTCCACACCTCTAAATGGAGAACACTTACAGGCAAACGAGCGCTTTCAACAACACATCTCAATGAATTTTCATCCAAAATGTGATCACGTTATTTTTGTGTGAAGTGTTAGTCGCATTTCTCTTCCCTTACTCCTTTGCGGATCACTTGCTCTCACACTATTCGGCTAGGAAAAGAAGGGCCAGTCTGACTCACTGACTTCTTTACTATTACAGTACTGTCTGTGTTCTGTATACCGTGTGTGTTCAGCCATACTAGACAGATGAGCAACTTTAATTTTTCTCTCTCTCTTCTCCCCCCAGTGGAACTCTGCAGCACTCCATCCACAAGCCTTAGAGGAGAACAGAAGAAACTTATCGTAATATTACATATAACCTCTGTGTCTTGCTTGACTCCCAACTGTCCTTCAAACCCCACATCTGTGTTCTTACCCTCTTAGATTTCACTCACGTTCCACCTCTTACTCGGCCGCCAAGACCCTCATCCAAATTTTGATCATGTCCATGCTTGACTACACAAAAGCCCTGCTCACAGGACTCCCCAGCTCTTACCTACACATGCTGTATACAATCCAGAACTCTACTGCTCTCTATATGCTCAAAGTCCCACCCTGTGGTTTAACCCACAACCTTCTCACTCAAGAGGTGAAGGTCCTAGCAACTAAATAGGGCTGATATACAATACAGATTCTCCTTTAAAAAAAACTTAAGTCAGGTTTGAAGAAAAAAACATTCATTCACTGAATCTCATTCTTAACTCTCACCATGGCATTTAATTGCATTTTGAATTAACCTAATGTGATTTTGCCTCCATTATCTTCCTTGACATATTATTATGAACATTTATCACTCTTTCAACTAAATACGTTTTCTCTAGCATCCGTTCTAAGTTTACTTTTCACTCATTTCCATGTATACTCTCTGCTCCTACTTTATTGACTGGAAAGATTATTATTATTTAGACTTAAGTGTCTCATAGGGTCTGTGCAAAATTTTAACCTAATTATTTTAATTGATTACAGGACAAATTTATGAATTGCTGTCAGCAGTGAATCCAGATCCAGTCGTGGGCTACTTATGAGTATCCAGAACTATCTCCCAAAGTAGTTTATAGGAGTGCGTGTGTGGGGAAGATTGGATCAATCCCTTCGGGCTATATATTCTGAAGAAAATGTCTAAACATCTTAGTTAATAGGACATGTTATTAATTTTAATAGTTCCCCCCTCCAGTGAGCCTCTTCATTTTGGCCTTTCTTTACTCCTGATGTCACCAAGCAGCTACACAGGAAATCTTGTGGATTGGCATCTCGCATTGGAAGCAGTTTAGCCAGAAACGTTTAGTCCAGGCTCATTGAAATCGGCTGATGGATACAGCTTGAAATGAGCATTCAGGGCAAGCACAGACAGTAATTTGGAGATTTCTATTGACCTACTTGTTGATGTCCCTCATTATTGGAGTCCTGTAGCTCAGCGATTAGAGCACTTGCCTTGCAAGAGAGACACCTGGATTCGATTCCCGGCCAGGCGAAATCTTGGGCAAGTTTCCTTACTCCACATGCGTAATAATAATCCCTCCAAAACAAAATAATAATAAATTGGTCATTTTCAATCCACGACTGTTTGTGGGACACTGCTGTGCGAAATTGGCTGCCGCGTTCGCCCACAAATATACGGTCAATTCATTTTACAGTCTATTCTATGAAGCGCTTTGAGACGTTGAGAAGACATGAAAAGCACTATATCAAATGCAACGATTATTATTATATTATTAACTTCAAGGAAGCTGACACCAACACAGAAAAAACAATTAAATAGAGAATCAAAAGATTAATAGAAAAAAGGAGATTTGAGAGCACTTCTCCAAAGGTAGCCATCTCTTTCACTTTAGTAGTCTTGCAGAATGTAACCTCGAAAAGACACTTGAAGGTTAGAATTCAATCAATAATGAGCTAATAGATGGCCGGGAAGCATAAAACAAATAAATGATAAATGAGGAAAATAAAGAGGCTAGGTTCTATTGCTAAGCCAGTTGAGTTTACATCCTTAGATGTTATTCTCAGACAGTATGGAGTTCTGGTCAGACCACACCTTGAATACTTTGATCACAACATAAGGGGGACCCTAGAGGTGGGTGCAGCAGTGAGCAACATGAATGATTCCCAGTGCTGGAGGAATGAGTTATATTTATGAACTGGGCCAATAGAAACCAGCTATAAATGGAGTTTCTGGCCCGTGGACCTCTCGCTGTTTACCCGACGTCACTGTGTGCGTCCAGGGCGGCTCTGGACGCGCAAGTAGGAAATGGGCTTCACTTGGGAGGCCCTGCTGTTGTGATTGCTGTCAGTCTGTCTGTGTGTGTGTGTGTGTGTGTGTGTGTCTCTCTCTCTATGTGTTTGTGAGTGTCTGTTCTATGTGTTTGTGTGTGTGTTTATGAGTGTTTCAGCGTGAATGTGTATGTTTCTCTCCCCGGTCTGTGCGTATGTATGTCGCGTTGTGTCTGAGTGTGTGTGTGTGTCACTCTGTGTGTGTGTGTCTCTCCCTGTGTCTCCGAGTGTGGGTGTGTGTCCCTGTGGATGCGTCTCTCTCACTCTATATGTGTTTGTGAGTGTCTGTGCAGGTGTCTCTTTCTCTCTATGTGTTTCACTTCTCCCTCCACGAGCCCCTCCAGTCTGGTTTCCACCTTCCCGTAGCACAGAGGCGGCGCTTGTCTAGGTCACAAACCATGTTCTCTCTCTCTGTGACCAAGGTTTCATCTGCCCCCTCATCCTCCTGGATCTCTCCACTGTGTTCGACACAGTCAACCACGCCAACCTCATCCATCGCTTCTTCTCCTTCATCCTCCTTAGTGGGGCCGCACTAGCTACCAAAAAAACCGTCTTCACTTTACATCCTCAAACGGCTTATTTTCCTGCCACCGCCCGGTCACCTGTGGTGTACCCCAGGGCTTCACCTTGGCTCCCTTGACTTCCTCATCTGCACGCTCCCTCTTGGCAATGTCATCCGCAGACACAGGGTAAACTTCCACATGTCTGCGGATGACATACAAATCTACTTCTCCAGCTGTGACTCCATGTCCACCGATGTTCTCTCTGCTTGTCTGGCAGACATCAGGGCCTGGATGAGCAAAAACGTCCTGCAGCTCAATGTCGACCAGAAGGAAGCAATCCTCATTGGCTCCTGTCATTGGATCTGACCTTCAACCTCACCGGCCTATCCCTCAGATTTACCAAACTAGTGTGCAGCTTAGGTCAGGTTCAACCCACAGCTGACCTTACTTCCCCACACCCGGTCCTTGACCAGGAACATCTTCCTCCACCTCCGCCACATTGCCCTCCTCCTTATCCCAGACGCAGCTGAAACACTCGTCCATGCGTTCGTCACCTCTCAACTCGACTTCTCAAATGCCCTCTTTGCCGGTCTCCCCAGCTCTACCATGCACAGGATCCAGCTGATCCAAAACTCCGCTGCCCGTATACACACCCGCAAAAAACTCCGCAGCCCCATCACACCAGTCCTTGCCAGACTTCACTGGCTCCCTATTGCCAAACGGATCAAATTCAAGATCCTCTCACTCGGTTTCAAACTCCTTCATGCCCTGGCAGCTCCCTACCTCTCCAACCTGCTCAACCCACAATTGGCTCCAGCCTTATGCATTTCCCTCGTGCCCTCTTTTCTACCATTGGTGGTCGAAACTCTAGAACTCTGGAACACTCTTCCTCTATTCCTTCGCCTTTCCCCTTCCTTCCCCATTTCAGGTTGCGCCTGAAAACCTTCCTGTTCAACCTATTCAACCGTGCCTACGGTCACCCCCCCATCCCAGGAGGTGGTAAGCTCTTGTAGCCTCGTTGGTGTCTCCCCCTTCCCCTCACCCACTTGAAAAAAAAATGGGTAACCTAGTTTTTGTTAAAGAAACTAATATTTTGTATTCAACAATCTAGTATGTGTTATTTTCTCATGTTTAGTTTTTATCAATAAATTGAAAACATGTAGGTTGGCAGTAAAATGTACCTCAACAGAACCAATCAATTCCATGTAATTTTCTGCAAAATTTGCCAAAATTTTCCCCGCAATTTGCCAATCTCCCCGTAATCTATCTTTGGCAAATATTTCCGCACTTTTCTATTAGCCCAGCTTATGAGCAATGACTAGGGCTCTTCATTCAGTCTTGAGAGAAGACAACTCAGAGGGAACCCCATAGAGGGGCACAAAATTTTAAATGGGATTGAAAAGGTAAACCCAGATAAATACTTTGGGATGCACCATGTCAGCAGAGCAAGAGGACATAGGTTTAGAGTTGTAAAGGGCAATTCCAGAACAAATACCAGCGAGTGTTGTTTAAGCAGAGGGCAATCAACGACTGGCACAGGTTGCCAGGAAATGTAGCTGAGGCCAGGATACTCTACTCGTTTAAGAAGTGAAGGAAAGAGTGTGGTAGGGTGTTATGGAGCGATAAAAGATCAGATGGATTGAAGGGTCTTCTTCATCCAGACCAATCTTGGGATCTTCTGGCCCAGGTTTTCTGCACGTACCTCGTCCCTTCTGCTCCACGATTGCCACTTGTACTTTCAGCCACTAGGCCCTGAATCTTTGGAACTCCTTACCTCAATCCCTCCATCTTTCCCCCCCTTTGCCCATCTTCAGATCACACCTGAAGACTTTCCTTGTCGACTGTGCCTTTGGTCACATCCCCTCCCGAATCAGCATCAAGTCACACTGCTGTTAAGCACTCCGAGACACTACTCGCGAGAAGGGCTCCATATAAAAGCAAGTTGTTGTTGCAGGAATGAATGGCTCCTCAAAGTAATACATGGATATATCAGCACATTCAATATGAACTAAATGATTAATGTATTAAAAAAGACAAGTAAGTTAGAAGTTAAAGTACATGTGGAACTTTTATTTAAATATGCTGATGCAATACCTTACACTACCATAAACCGTTGTGAAATGACCATTTGTTAAACAATTTCCAGACTAACTAACATGAGGAATGCAATTCATAATGCCAAATGGATTTATTTACAATTATGAATTAAGATTCTCATTGTCAAGCCCTAATTCTTTAAGATGCTATAGTTGAATTAACAATTGCAGTTTTGACAGTGACCTGTGTAAAAAGAGAATTTGATACATTGCAATTTAGGTTATGCCACAGACTCAAAAAAAATCAGATAAACAAAAGTATATGGAAAAGCAGCAATATAAATTATGGAAAAATGAACAAAATATCACTCAGTTATATCTACAACCCAAGTTTATGTTTATGAGAAACAAATATGAAGTTTATGTTTTAATATATGTAGGTGCAAATGATATTGATATATTAACGCTTAATGCATTGAAGCCATTAAATACTTAATTTTGAAATCACCCAGTGAAAAGCATCCAATGAAAAGCACAAGAAATAAAACACTGGACAAAGTGCACATGTAACCATATATGCGGACCCAACAGTTAAGTGTATGTCCTGGACAGAATATTTCCTCTGACTGTGCAGACTAGATACTCGATTTCATAACAGGACTGAAATTGTAGACAAATTTGTAATTGTATACAAAACAGAAAAGCAAGCAAAAATAATTTTAAAAAATCATTTTTGTAAATGTGTTCTTTGCCCAATAGTAATTTAATTAAAACCTGAAACAGTGCAAAGTTACACATGTTATGCATGCTATATTTTATGTGTGCTATATATATAATGCATGACCTTTGTAACTGCATCTATTTTTATGCAATATTTCACTGCATTTTGTAAATGCTTGCGATACAGAAATCATGGCTAATTTAAATTATTTTTTAAAAAGTAAAATAGAAGCATCTTAAATTATTTGAATTTTAATAAGTCTAATTTCAAAAGAGGCACATCATTCAAAAATAGTCTTTTTCTACAATTATTTCCATTCTAAAGTCTGGATAAATAATGAATAGTGAAAACCTGATATCTTTACTTTCATTAAGCAGACGTCAATCTCAGTTATGTCAATTGACTGACTGCACCCACTCAATTTGCACTGAAATGCTTCCTCCTATAACGAAGTCATCTTTGTATGATCACCAGAGCAAAACTGCATGAGGTCCATTATATAGACCAACCTGTAACAACGTCTATTGAAAGTATTAAACATAGTACAAAATTAAGTCATACAATTAGCTCCATTCCTCCTATTGATTTTTTTTTTAAATTTCCACAGTCCAAAAGTAATTTCATGCTGGAGTAAGCCATTAATTCATTTTGTTTTTTCATTCTATTTTGCATAAGATCCCTTTGATGTATTCATCTCCAAATCTAATAATCTTGAATTATTGAGCAGAAACTTGGCTGGTTTATTTTTGTAATCCTCTGTAGTGTCTTGTTCCACCACTTCTGCTGGTAGTTTCCCACATACCTAATACCCCTTTATTTTAAAATCGGTCTGGATTTCCCATCTTTTAATGTCCTTACAGTATTGTAAATAGGACATGGGTCTTATTCTGTAGAGCTTCACATTTTTTGAAACATTTCATAATCCTAAAATACCTGCATCATGCCCAACATTTTGTTTTCTTCAACTACTGATTGATTTAGTAAACTGTTCACAAGGGCATTAAGGGTTAAAACAGATACCCCTATAGACTTCTAGTTTGCAGAACATAAGAATGAATAGTACTGTATTAGGATTATTTATTTAAGGACCACATTGAACGTAACTACTTCAAATTTCTTCTCATGTAATCTAATAGTGTGAAATAAACAAGACTTGGCTGACTAGAATAGAACTCCAATAACATTATAATGAAGCATTTAAATTATGAATTCCATTCAGCACACTTTTGACAAAGCATGATAGCAGCTGTTACTAAATTACACACAAATAACGTCTTCAATAATGTAAATCATATAGTGCAGTTTTAAAGTAGAATGTACAAGATTTAATCATTTCAGACATTCACATCCTCACTCCCAACTTCCAAGTCAAACATAACTTTGTTCAGTCAGAATTTAGTTAACTGCAGACCAAATTCACTATACTTTCATGGAACCTTTCTAAATGTCTTCAAAGCCTTGGATATCATCTAGGACCTGGAATTAGTTCATAATTTATTAGATTGTGTAGATTTTAATGTAATTATTTATTCTAATCATATTACTTAAATGGTTGTATTGTGAATTTCTGTATCAGGACATCTGTTTAGTACAACTATGGAAATGAACGCACAATCATCAGATTGTGTAGTTTTGCATTAGACTAATGAGAAACATTCATTTCTGAATAAAATGTTAACCTTATTCACCAGTAAAATGTAGAAAAGTTTAGTATTACTCTTGTTACATTTCTAAGATATTCAGTAGGCTAACAGCAGTGAAAATTCAACTGCATTGTAACATTCTAAGCGTTGTGGTTCCTGACACATACACTCCAAAACCTCAAGCTCAGCTGTTCCTGCTGCATATACTTCCAAACCTGAAACTGTATGAAAATCAGCAACATTTGAGAGGATCACAACAAATAATTTAGTGTTAAATCATGAAAGTGTACAAATATATGAAAATAAAAAATAAAAATCATTTTTAGATTATAACAAGCAGATGGTTTCTGGATAAAACTATCCGATGTGAGCGTGTACATATAAGCTTAAACCCTTTTTACTGATGATTAAAACTGTGTTCCACATTTCTAATGCATAACTGTTTTAAATGCAATGCGATTTGACAATACTAGCAAAATATTTTGTGAACACAAAATTCTGCATCACTACAGCAAAACATATCCTTGGAAGAACCAAGGAGATGGTGGTACATGATGTGAACAAAAAGTGTGCAAACTGCAATGTCAACTATAGAATTTATACAAATTGTTCACCAATTGTTTAAATTGGCAAAAAATGACTGCATCAAAGTCTGACAGTTTACAGCATAGAGCAGTAGCCGCCACAAGAACCTCCACCTCTGGCATCGGGTGAGTCTGATAACCTCAGTTTACTATTCTGGCTCTCACTTTCCCACAAACCAGGCGTCTGAATAATCTTCTCAACGAGTTCTTCAAACGCACACTGTACACCATCACGTGTTTTTGCACTGGATTCTGGTTTAAAAAAAGTAAAAATGTTTTGAATAAGCAAAACACCCAGATTAGATGTGCTATAAAGAGGGCTGACATTTGGCTCCCCAATGCATACTGTATTAAGTGACTCGTGTGAACAACAGTGAGCTTCGGGATATTGAGCGGGTACAACTACATCGATCAGCATTATACATCACATATAAAACAGTCTTGTGTAAAATATTTAGCATTCATACTTAATGGGTATGCAGTCACTATATAAAAAATAAATAATGCACATATCACTTTTGTACATTTTGCAAAATTAATAAGCATGCAGATGTCCGAAATACAGGTCAGACGTCAAATGACCAACAAGTGACTATCCCCTGGGGGGATGGGGGTGGTAAGTGAGCCAACTCCAAGGTGATATGCTTATCAAAGCAATGTGGGAATCGGGTCATTCCTCTAAGTCAGTCTCAATAGTCCTGATCCTGAGCAAGCGGGGACCACAGTACTCCAGGGTACTGTTGATGAGCCTAACTCATCAGCAGGACTTCGAGAGGCAGTCACGTTTCTTCCCACTCAGCTCCTGTTAAACTTGCAAGCCAAAGCTCTGATGGGTAGGGTGGGCCTACTTGGAGAACGTTCCTCCCCTCATGATTGTTTAAATTCCATAAGCACCTTTATCAACTTACCTATAAATAACATGGAATGTTTTCTTGCAAACTTCAGACCTTCATTTCGGTCTACTTCACGATTTTCCTTCAATAAAAATAACTAAATATTAAAGACCAAATGGACAGACTTTGCAAATATTCAATAAAAAAAATTAGCCAATCTCTATCAATTTTAAGGACATTTCCACAAGTGGTTCTATATTTGCTATTTTTAATGTTTCATGGTATTACAAAAAAAAAGCAGCGTAGCATTAAAAATAAGCTAACCAAAGGCTCATAACAAACACTCACTGTCATTGAGCACAATATGCACACTAGGAAATCTGAGACCCCATAAATCACATATATACACAATATATACATACAGTGGAATCCTGTTAAGGCGGACAGATGAGGAACAGCTGTTGTATCTGGTGTCCGAGGTTAGCCGGAATTCTCTCACCTCTTCCCACCAGCAGAGGAGAGGGGGTGGCGCTTCCTCCCACCCATTGCCCGTTCCCATTGAGTGGGAAGGGAACCAATTAAAGGTGATTGACAGCCTTGAACCCCCCCCCCTTGTGAATGTTTGTGCTCCACCCATTCATAAGTGTCTTCAGCTGTCAATCAATTGCTATTTGAATCCTCCCATTCCATCCCTTGTTCTTCCCTGTTCTTCCGCTCCCCTTCACTGATTGACAACCCAACTCCAGTCGCTTGTGAATGGCTGTAGTCCGCTATCAATCAATCTTAGACTTCTCCCATCTCCATCCTGGAGCTTGTCGTGGCTGACAGGAGCCGCTCAACACACAGAAGGCTCGAGTGAGTACGTTCAGCGGCGATCAGCGCAGTTTAATCGGATTAATCAGATTTTTGTCCCAATCAACTGGCAAATTTAAAACAGGTAGGAATACAAATGAATCGGGGCCGGGCGTTTTGTTCGATTTACCCAGCAACTAGGGTTAACTTGCATCCACCTAAAGTAGATTCCACTGTGTATAAAAAGTGCAAATAGTGCAATACATTTGAAAAGTAAGTACAGGTACATGCTTTCTGAAAGTTAAGACATACCCAATGACTCACCAAAAACCATAAATAACAATTTGTATCTAAAGACTGAATAAAAAAGGAATTACATACAGTCAATTCACTTTACAGCATATTCTGTGAAGCGCTTTGAGACGTCTAGAAGACGTGAAAAGTGCTACATCAAATGCAAGGATTATTATTATTATTATTTTAATGGGAACAATGAAAACAATTAAAGGGATCATAAATGAATAACTAAAGTAACTACATATTCTAACTTCTAATGTGAGAGAAAAAATAGTAAAAGTTCATGTGTGTGTAGGAAAGAGGTTATAAACAGGTGCAGCTGCATCCTAGTACATGAGAAGATAGTGGCAATCGTCAAATCTTCTTGTGGTGCACATATGTGAATAGACTGGGTGTATGAGATCACAAACCCAGGGTTATTTTTCATTTTTAGACCCTGGTTTGATCTAAGTGTTGACAACCCTGCAGTACTAGTTTCAGTATGGTAGCAATAAACACTTTTACTGTAAACATTCCTGAGATTGCTTTGGTATGAATCTACACTGAAATATTCATTACAGCAACTCGCCCAACGGATTAACATTTTTAGAAATGAGTACAGACAATCTGACCTGAAGAGTCTTAACATGCAGGGCAATCAGAAGCTGTTATACAGCAGTCAGGATGTAATACAGACAAGGACAATTACTGAACAGCTGATCTGTCAAATTGACTGTTCAAATTTACATAGTTATGTAGAGCAATACGACAAAAAAAAGGCCAGTCGACCCAACTAGTCCATTCCAGCATTTACACTCTATGTGAGCCTCACCCTTCCTATTCCCGTCTCCTATACCCCTCTATTCCCATCTCCCTCATGTATCCATCAAGTTCTCTTTTGAATATATTCATGCTTCAACCACAGCTTCAAGCACATTCTTAACACCCTCTGTGTGAAGAAGTTCCTGCTAAACTGCCTGCTAGATCCACTGCTGGCTATCATATATTTATGCCCCCTAGTTTTGGACCCATCAACATGTGGAAACAGCCCAGCAATATCCAGCTTATTAAATCTTTTCATTAACTTAGTCTATCAGGTGCCCTCTCAATCATGAACTCTAGACAGAAAAACTACAACTTATCCATTTGTTCTGGATAGCTGTATCTACATATCTCTGGTAACATTCTTGTAAATCTACACTGCATTTTCTCTAATGCTATACTATTATGATACAAATATACACAGATGAAATCTCACAGAAATTTACAACACAGAAAGAGACCATTCCGCCCATCAAGTTTGCACCAGCTCTCGGAGCAAGCTGTTCTTTCAATCCCTTTGCCCTGCCTTATTCCCATACCCCTACAAGCCTCTAAGATGAGTGTTTATTTTGAAAACACAAAATGTAATAGTAGGATTGTAAATTGTTAGAAGAGTGTGTATTAACAATATTCTCTAACTAGCCAAACCAGAGTTTTATCCCTTCCTCTCTTGGTGGTCTATTGCACCTCCTCCCAACCCACTGATTGACTCCAAGTCTGTACTAAAAATGTTTTTTTTATTAGTTTCTTCTGCTTAAAATTTAAGGTTTTGGCAAATGAAATGGCAACTAAAATTCCTACTCGTCAAGCAATGAGTAGTATAAAAGTTTTTTTATATCTCTAAATCTTTTTTTGCAACCTTTGTCAAGAAGGAATACAGGGAAAGCTGAATACTTTGTGGTCGGCTGCGCCCAATATCACAACAGCCTTGAAAAATAGTCAACTTCAAGACTGTCAAATTACTGCTGGCATCACTTCTCATGCGTTGTGCACATGTACACTGTGTGCAGAAAGCGCTACTAATGTCAATTGTTGCATGTTATACTGCGCACCACTAACATCACTTCTTTCACACACAGAGATCTGAGGCACTTCCTGTGAATAGCAGGCAGGAACCTTGAAATCACCCATTTATTAATATATTTATTAATATAGTAAGCCAGCTGGTCAATGCTGAAACCTAACGGTTCACATTAGACCTCTGGAACTCCATCCCGCAGTCCCTCCACCTCACCCCCTTCCTTGCCTTCTTCAAGATCCATCTCAAGACCCTCCTCTTCGACTGTGCTTTCGATCACCCTGCTTCTCTGCTGCCCGCCACCCTCCCCAATCCCAACCCCCAGCTCGGGTCCGAAACTCTGCCTGTCCAGCACCTTGGGACAGCCTCCCGACGTGAAAGGCGCTATACAAATGTAATTTTGTTGTCGCTGTTGTGCTATTTGTGCTTGACAAAGTGCCACACAAAAGGCTATTGCACAAGGTTAAGGCCCATGGGATTAATGGGAACATATTAGCATGGATTGAAGAGTGGCTATTGGATAGAAAACAGAGAGTAGGGATAAACGGGTCATTCTCGAATTGGCAGGATGTGACTAGTGGAGTGCCACAAGGATCAGTGCTTGGGACTCAGCTATTTATAATTTACATCAATGATCTAGATGAGGATATTGAATGTAACGTATCCAAATTCGCGGATGACACTAAACTAAGTGGGAGAGTAAACTCTGAGGATGATGCAAAAAGATTGCAATGGGATATAGATCGGCTAGGGGAGTGGGCGAGTAGGTGGCAGATGGAATTTAATGTGGGGAAGTGTGAAGTTATTCACCTAGGCAGAAAAAATAGAAAAACAGATTATTTTCTCGAGGTGGGGGGAAGATATGATAGTGTTAGTGTTGATAGGGATTTGGGTGTCCTTGTACACCAGTTTCAAAAAGTTAGTTTGCAGGTGCAGCAAGCAACTAAGAAGGCGAACGGCATGTTAGCGTTCATTGCAAAAGGTTTAGAGTACGAGACTAGGGAAGTCTTGCTGCAACTTTATCGGGCCTTGGTGAGACCGCACCTAGAGTATTGTGTGCAGTTTTGGTCTCCTTATTTAACAAAAGGACATACTTGCCTTAGAGGGGGTGCAGCGTAGATTCGCTCGGTTAGTTGCTGGGATGAGGGGACTGACCTATGAGGATAGGCTGAATAAACTAGGGCTATATTTTCTAGAATACAGAAGAATTAGGGGAGATCTTATTGAAACATATAAGATTCTTAAAGGGCTGGATAAAGTAGACACTGAGGGTCTGTTTCCCCTGGAAGGAGAATCTATAACCAGGGGTCACAGTCTTAAAATTAAGAGTCAGCTTTTTAGAACAGAGTTGAGGAAACATTTCTTCACTCAGAGGGTAGTGAATTTATGGAATTCACTACCCCAGAAGGCTGTAGATGCTCAGTCTTTGAACATCTTCAAGACTGAGACTGATAGAATTTTTAAAAATAGAGGGATTAGGGGATATGGTGATATGGCAGTTTTCCTTTTTTTTTCTCCTTACCTCAAACCGAGGAGAATGCATTTTACAGTTGCATAGTCCTCCGTTTATTGTTCAGTCGGAGAACTAATGAAAATCTAGAACTGCCAAGTTGCCTTAAATGAAGCTCCTACTTCTGCAGCTGAACACGAGTATTTAAAAATTTCTAATTCTAAATAGGTAAAAACAAGCTGTAAAATATGAAACACAAAAACAAAATTAAGGACACTTAAATTATATTGCTTACTTTATCAATTTTGTTTCCAACTAACATTTTCACAATATCATTCCTTGTGCAGTAGGTTTCCAACTCATTCAGCCAGTTGTCTAGTCTTACAAAGGTGTCTCTTCTGGTCACATCATACACTGAAAAACAAATATTTCTAAACTTTAAATATACAAAGAGTTTAACTTTAGAGACACTTTCCACAATATGAAAGTAAAATGATAATTGGCATTGTAAATTATGAGACTTGAAGGCATGATATAGACTAAAACATTATGACTTTCTTCACAAGCTAAAGAAACACCATTTTTTAATATAAAGTTAAACTACTGGAAGAACTTTTACCTAGGATAACACCTTGTGCTCCTCGATAGTAACTGGGAGTTAAGGTCCTGAACCTTTCTTGTCCAGCAGTGTCCTGTAATCAAAGTAAAGTGAATCCTGTTACAAAAAAAGACATTTGACAATGTCATTCACAAATTGTCTAATGGATATAATACAATACAAATTTACATTTATATACCTTTCATGTTGTAATGCCATCATGTAACCAAAAGGTTTACATTTTTGGAGGTGAAGGAAAGATGCAGATTAAGTAGTATGTGGCTGCAATTATTTATTTATGTAAAGGAACACAGAATCTTTACTATCTACAACAACAACAAAATTACATATGTAGAGTGCCTTTCATGTCGGGAGAATGTCTCAAAGCGCTGAACAGTCAGGTGTCAGGGCCAGAGCATGGGGGAGGGGTGGTGTAGGGGTGAGGGAAGGCAGAGGTGGGAGGGCAACCAAAGGCACAATCAAAGAGAAGGGTCTTGAGACCGTCCTTGAAGGAGGCGAGGGAGGAAGTGAGGCGAAGAGACCGTGGGATGGAGTTCCAGAGTGTGGGGGCAGAGAGGCTGAAAGCCCGGCCACCGGGCAGGTTGGGCGGGAGACATGGAGCAGGCCAGAGCCCGCCGAACGGAGAGCGCGGGCAGGTTGGTAGGGAGTTAGCAGGTCAGAGAGGTAGGAAGGGGCATGTCCACGAATGGCCTTGAAAGTGAGGACGAGGATCTTGAACTTGATCTTCTGGGGGATGGGGAGCCAGTGGAGTCGGGCGAGGGTGGGAGTGATGGGGTCGCGGAGCCTGGTGCGTGAAAGTACACGAGCTGTAGAGTTTTGGATGATCTGCAGTTTGTGAAGGGAAGAGTTGGGAAGGCCGATGAGGAGGGAGTTCCCGTAATCGAGCCTTGATGTGACGAATGCGTGGGTGAGGGTTTCGGCAGCTTGAGGCAGTGGCGGAGTCTGGCTACGTTGCGGAGGTGGTGGTAGGCAGTGCCGGGCATGGCCCGGATGTGGGGGAGAAAGGACAGTTCAGGGTCAAACAAGACACCCAGGTTCCTGACTGGCTTAGTGAGGTTGAGTGTGCAGCTGTGGAGGCTGGTGCTGCCAGCGCCCGAGGTGCAGAGGCGCTGGCGCAAGCCAATCAGGAGGGCCTCGGTTTTGCTGACGTTGAGTTAGAGAAAGTTGTCCCTAGTCCAGGATTTGATGTCGGACAGGCAGTCGGGCAGGACGCCAGTAATAATAATAATAATCCTTGCATTTGATATAGCGCTTTTCACATCGGGAGGACGTCCCAAAGCGCTTCACAGAACACACTGTAAAGTGAATTGACTGTATATTTGTGGGCGAACGCGGCAGCCAATTGCGCACAGCAATGTCCCACAAACAGTCGTAGATTGAAAATGACCAATTTTTATTATTGTTTTTGGTTTTTGGAGGGATTATTATTAGGCTCTGTGTGGAGTAAGGAAACTTGCCCAAGGTTTCGCCCTGCCTGGGATTGAACTCAGGTCTCTCGCTTGCAAAGCGAGTGCTCTAACCACTAATCCGTAGTAGTAGTAGTCCTGGAGTTCAGAGTGAAGGCAGAGAGGTAGAGTTGGGTGACATCCGCATACATGTGGAAATTTACCCCATGTCTGCGGATGATGTCACCAAGGGGGAGCATGTAGAGGGTGAAGAGGAGGGGAACGAGGACAGAGCCCTGAGGAACACCGCACAAGACTGCGTGGGGGTTGAAGTAGAAGCCATTTGCTGCAACAAAGTTGAGGCGGTGTGAAATGTAGGACCTGAACCAGTCAAGGACAGAACCTTGAAGGTTGAGGTGGGAGGAGAGGCGGTGGAGGAGGATTGAGTGGTCCACGGTGTCAAAGGCGGCGGAGAGGTTGAGGAAGACTAGGAGGCAGAGGGAGCCCTGGTCACACATGGTCAGGATGTCGTTTCGGACCTTGATCAGAGCAGTATCCGTGCTATGGGCAGCATGGAAACCCAATTGGAGGGGTTAGATCCTAGATCTAGACTTGTCTACTTACTTTTAGCGGTGAACATACAAGAATATAAAAACATAAAAATTGCTAAATGAAAGAAGACCAAGGCCCATCCAGTTTGCCTTCCACCTGGCAGTCACATGCACATATCATGTCCCAAACTATATACTGTTATCCGAAGATATTATTCACTAAAAGAAATCTATCTAATTTGTTTTTGAATCAACACTTTCTGCCTATTCCATACATTTACTACTCGCTCACTGAAACGGTGTTTCCACAGATTTGATTTGAATTTACCTCCGTTCAATCACAGGCCATGTCCTCTGGTTCTAATAGTCCACTAATAATGCAGTCAGAATGTACTGTAAATAATTTCTATATATGTGTACACACACACACACATGAGCACACACATCACTTTTCTACAATTACCATTTCTAAAATTTTTGATCAAAATTGAAACCCATGTTTGGTATCAAATAACTACTTCTCAGTTTTGTCTGCTATTCTTCAGCCTTGTCGGTGCATTTTGGATCTTAACCTAGATTCTCAATTAAAAATAAATATTTCTGTGGCTAACCAAATTTGCTCGTCATTAAATTTCAACAAAGGAGTATTCTTTGATAAATTTGCATATACTTTTGAATTTATTAGTGTTATTTAATATACGTTTTACGATCTCATTAATGTTACTTTAATGGATCATTTGTCATCTTTGAGCAGCTGCTCACTAGTAATTACTAGGCAAGCTAGTAAATTTCAAAATCTTCTAATCGCGAATGCCAAATTTAAATGCTACCAAGCAAAACAAACAGATGCAGTTATGTAAAGAACAAATATCACTAAAATGGGTTAAAGTTTTGTGTCAGTACCACAAAAGATGAATAAAAATAAATATATATTTGGTAACTAAAAAGTTGTGATACCGTTACAATGTCTAACAAGTCTTAAAGAAATGATTTTTTTAAAGATAATAGGGTACATATCACAACTTTTTGGTCACCCTGTCTTTGTGTGTGTATCTATATATATGTATATAAATAGAATATATACAAATAGAAACTGTTTTAGCATGCGGCAACAATGGGGAAATAGGATTTCATTATATACTTGTGAACCTTATACAGTAAAACTCTCAAAAGTCATATCAGTCAGGACCATAACATTTAATATGATTTACCCAACGTCCATTTGCAGGCAAATTGTATCAGTCGTAGAAAATCTGATTTAAATCAATGCGCATGCGTAATTTAATGCATGCAATAGTTCGTCCCTGTAGCTGGTAAGTGCACATGTGGTCACAGGTCAAAACTACATTTCTCACATTTTAATGTGTCTTGACCTGTCAATGAATACGAATTTAATGGCAAGCATAGTAATCGTGGAAAATGAAGTTCTTCTACAATGCATCAAGATGGATGGATCAAAACTATGTTTCACAAGATTCAAAGGCAGCCGAGTGGTAAGTGCTCATGTGTCGATGGGTCAGGACATCATTTCCCGTGATTCAAGGCAGCAAGTAAGTGCGAGAGTAATGGAGGGCAGGGGTGTGGAGTTACAAGTTAGAAGGTGATTAATGCAAGTAGTGCAAAGAAATCTCAAGTGCTTTTGATAGGAAATTGAATGGGACTCGGGTGAAGTTTTACGGTACTAAGTAAGCTTCAACAACAGTGAATGTTTCTTCATTTATCATATCTACAATAACGTTATTAGATCTGGCAGAATCTTCTCCCATGCACGTAATATCAGTTCATCAAGTACAAGTCTAAGTGATCAGCAGAGGTCCAGGCCATAACTTAGCTGAAAGCGCCCTCCAGTGGCTACAAACATCAGATGACAAAGTACAGTATATGACATTTTGTGGAGAACGACTCTTTGTTAAATCAAGAATTGCTAAGACATTCTGCAAATAAAAGTCAGGCGGCAAAATAACGCTCAGCATGTTTATTCATGTTTATTATTATCATGTTTTGGAGTCCTGTAGCTCAGTGGTTAGAGCACTCACTTTGCAAGTGAGAGACCTGAGTTCAATTCCAGGCAGAGGGCGAAACCTTGGGCAAGTTTCCTTACTCCACACAGAGCCTAATAATAATCCCTCCAAAAACCAAAAACAATAATAAATTGGTCATTTTCAATCCACGACTGTTTGTGGGACATTGCTGTGCGCAATTGGCTGCCGCGTTCGCCCACAAATATACAGTCAATTCACTTTACAGTGTGTTCTGTGAAGCGCTTTGGGACGTCCTCCTGACGTGAAAGGCGCTATATCAAATGCAAAGATTATTATTATTATTATTATTATTATTAACTACATTGTTAAAATACAGATTTAAAAATGATCTCATGCAATCCTAGGAGATTAAATTTCCTATGAAATTATCTAAAATTATGTCCAAATGAACTTTACTTGAAGGTAACAGACACAATCAACCTAAGGGCTGGGATTTCTGGACTCCTTCAATGCTAAAAGCAAAGGTTGTCACAGTAGTGAGCCATATGCAGGGCCAATAGAAGAGTGTGGAAATATTTGCCAAAAATTGAACAGTAATCCAAACCTCACCCCAACCCACCTACAAAGTTCCTCAGTCTCTCAGAGCAACTTCTTTACTTTTTGACAAATTTTGCAGAGAAGTTGATTTCCCTCTCGTGCCACATCCATGATTCCAATACTCCCTGCGCCACACTGCGCCCTTAAGACCAGAGCCACTCCGCCCACAGTAACAGCCATAAAGTGAATTACCAACTTAATTTATCAGTGCTAGATAGAAGTCATCACATTCGTTGGTAAATCTAGAACTATACGATGCCTCACCTTGAATCAGGGAATGAAATTCTTGGATATCTAATCAAATTATCCTTTCTCTACAGTGAACAGTAATCCAAACCTGCCCCCAACCCACCTACAAATTTCCTCAGTCTCTCAGAGCGACTTTACTTACTTTTTGAGAATCCATGACAAACAGGAGAATTGAAAATAACTCCTATAAATAGACGGCTACCAGTATGCAGTCAATACCGTCGCAGGCAGACACAAGCAATGTCATGGATCACGGTGTGAATTTCAAGCAGGAAACCAAAAGATTCACTTGATTTGCAGAACACAAGACTGATTATGACAAATTGGACTAATTTGTTCTGAAGATAAATTGGTATCTGAATAGTAACCTATTGTGAAATGGAACATCACATCTCCTTCTCATTCGTAATCGTTTAATGAATGGCGCAATTGTTAATAGGCTTACTGTTGACAGATCGTGAAACCAGACAGATAAGATAGGCAAACGCATGCTTTGCTGTTTGCTACTCAAACAAATATTCAAGTAGATGAAACCCAGAAGTATATTCATTTATTTGGTATAAGACCTCAATACCAATCACCTTTTCCACCAGGCCTAAATAGCTTTGCTTGTGAAGGAAACAAATTAATAAAAGCGCCAAGAAAAGTGAATTAGATTGCGTACATTCTAAATGATCAAATGTAACACAGACCAATCACATTTCATTTCAGTCTAACCCCCACCAAGATCTGTCAATCGGATGTGTGATGCCAGTTGTGTAGTCTGCGTTATGTATGTTTATCTAACAATGATCAGATAAGTGAGAAAACAAAGAACTTTGATTGAGAAGTCTTGGATTGTAAAAACTGTGATGGGTGTACAGTGCCCCAATTTTTGTGTACAGGCAGATATTTTTGCATAATATACACACAATTTTGTAATCTCTGTATAAGTGTAGTAAACTGCTGGTTCTGACTGTCCAGTTTCCTATACAGGGCCTACAGGTGCAAAGGCCTCCCAAGTTCAACAACATTTCAGCAACTATTAATAATGGTCAAGGGTGAGTGCCACTGGCCCACTAGCTTCTTGCATGTTGCACATGTGCGAGTAGTGGAGACCTGATAATTTGTAGTCTGAATTTATGGACTCAAACTTCCACATTATAACAAGAGTATGAATGTAGTTTGCTTTATTGGGACTAAATGCGAGATTGTTTTGTATGCAGAAAATAAAGTATAAACCAATCCAAACCCATCGCACCATTCATCATTTCCAACTCACCCAAATTGCAAGTTTTGCTTTATTTCCATCAACTGCAATTGTCTTCACTTTGAAGTCAACACCTGAAAAACAGAAAAGAGGTTCAATTTTAATTTCCAAATGAAATATTTACCCAGAACTTGATACAGGTCTTCAAAATTTTGAGTCAGACGAGATAGGCCATTTGATAAGACAAAATGAAAACTAGCCGGCAAATGTTGCAAATTAGAAACTTCAACTGAAGCAGAACCAGAGACTAGATGAGTATTTTATTCCCTTCCACTGAATATTGGATATTGGTACATATATTTGGTATAAAGATTCTGAACAGTTGATGCAGAATTAATCCACACCTTCAAAAAAAAAATTCAGAGAGATGAACAAATACTCCACGTGACAATGATTTCTTTGTTGTTTGGGGATGGAGGGAGCAGATTTTTTTTTTTTGGTCAGCCTGGTATTTGACACATGTAGAAACCCATCATCATGCTTAAGAGTTTCCAAACCAGACAGATTTCCATGCATCCCACCTACACATTGAAATTCCAGAGATATTTGTTAAGATGGAATGCACACTCTCTCCCTGGTGGGATACATTCTGCTTACCTAATTCCGGAGAGTAATAGGCACAGGTTGGCAAGAGCCAAGGCTTGGGGACCCCAGTGTATTTGTTGGGGTACTGCTGGAATCTAACCAGCTAAAACCACATAGCTTGCCATTGAAAGCACTGTCTGGCAAGCTCTCCCATTGCTTGTCCAGCTAGGCCCACTCTATCCATTAGTATTGGTTTGCAGGGTTAACAGGAACCAAGTGGAAAAATCCCTGTCTCCAGTCTGTCTTTCCAATGAGAAAGGCTGGTTGGATATTTCATCAGCAGTAGTCTGTAATTACGTAACCATTGCCTATTCCATAAAAATTGTGACCCTTTACAAAAAAATTATAATAATAATCCTTGCATTTGATATAGCGCTTTTCACGTCGGGAGGACGTCCCAAAGCGCTTCACAGAACACACTGTAAAGTGAATTGACTGTATTATATCCTAGAAATGTTGAGAACCCCTGCCCAGCTTTTAACCATTTCAAACCTTGAAGAGCTATGTGAAAATTGAACACTATTCTTCAAAGCACCATGAGAAGAAACTCCTTTCTCTTTTCAAAAGTGTCATAAGGATCTTTAACATTATCTGAACAGGCACCTTGGATTAACATCTATTCCAAATGACGTCTAGAAGCGCTATATCAAATGCAAGGATTATTATTATTGTTATTATTACAGATATGTGGGATCAAGACCCACATTGGGATTTTCAAATTTGAGTTGAAAGTCCCAATGTAAAACTCAAAGGCAAGTCCAACTGAGCCAGGCTGACAGCAACATGTTTAACAGGAGGGTGGGTTGACACCGTGCTGAAAGAGGGGGGAGGGGAGGAAGGTGTCAAAGATACAGTCGAACAAGAAGGCCTTTAGGTTTGATTATGAAGACAAGCAGAGAGGGGGTAAAACGGAGAGATTGAGGCCAGGAGTTCCAGAAATTTGGGGCATACTGGTTGAACATATGCTTAAAACATATGCAAAACATAAGCCTAAAAAACGTTTAAGCTTATAAGAAAACAATGGTTCAAATGGTTTGGACATTATGTTGCTCAGTCCAAGATTCAAATTTCTGGCAAATAGCTCAACTTTCAAAGAACTTTCCATGAACCTATGAACCATAGGCAGTTTTCAGCCAAATCGTCTACCAGGTGACATCACGTGGCAATTATTTCAGGCCAAATAATTTGGGTCAGCCTCAATCAAGCAGCGTCTATAAGTAGAACTGGGTGGGGGACTGCTTTGGTTCTTCTGACTGCCAACCTTCAGAAGCCACAGGAAGTTTTAATGTCAAAGTTGACCCTCCACTGGTATATCCCTCTGTGAAAGCTTTCAAAGGGTTCAGCTGATGTTCAAATTAGAACATCCAGAATAAAAGGTCTTCTTGATAGAAAGACGTCACTAAGAATTCTATGAAGTCTGCCCCGGTCTTATAAATAATTCAAACAGATATTGGAAATAGCTGACCTGAGCTGAAGAATCCATTTAAGTACCTTGATACCAACTGAAAATATTCAATCCACCATCCTCTCCTTGTGTGAAGTACAACAGGAACGACAACAATTTGCAATTTTATGTTGCCCTTCATACAGGATAACATCTCAGAGCACTGCAAAGTTATATTCAGTTAACAAGATTGCTTGTAATTTAAACTTCCTCGTCCAAATTTTGTTTTTGAGGGATTATTACCCCTGGAAAGTAGACCGGTGATTGTAAGAGATGTGTAAGCACTGCAGTCTAAACCAAGCCAGAACAAAAATGAAATAAGAACAGATATGTTTAGAAGGAAGGTAAACAGACAGTTCAGATTCAATTATATTAGATTGATAAAAATGTAGCATAGAATACTCAGAGAGGCAGCAGAGGTAAATTGTGTCAGTAAATTCAAGAGGGAATTGGATAGCTTTCTGGTAAAAAAATCAATTAAGGAGTATGAGGGAGGATCATGTAGGACTATTTTATTTATTTTTAAAATGTTGGTATTGGCCAAATGGACTGCAATGGTCTTTTCCAGTCCTCCACATTCCTATGTTCTTATGTAAACTACCCTGTTCCAAGTTGAGATATTTTCCTTTACTAAGAAAGTCAGAATTTTGAAGCTCAATAAAATGCCAGAAATCTCCTGTCCTTTTTCAGAGTACAAAACAATAAGCAAAAGGGTCTCATGTCTTCTCTGGTATAATTAATATTTGTTTTGTCACCTGAGAAAAATAGGTGTACGTTCTACAGCCTAAGACAATAATTTGCCTTAATATTGTAAAGAAAACTTAATGTAACATTCTTGTGAGGTCTCCTGAATCCAACATAAACAAGCTACCATTGGTCAAGAAACTGTCAGATGGTGATTTTGAAAATGGACTTGTCAAACAACCAAGTACAATATCATTCTGTACGAGCAATATCCCGGTTTGTATTTTTGGATTGCTGATCCAATTCTAAAGATTTAACCCTTGAAAAGGGGATGCCTTCAGATGATGCCATCCACTTTCTACCATAAATTAAAGAACAAGATTAGCATTTTAACAATCAAGTGCTCCTGTGAAGTAATATATGAACAGATACATACCAAAGCTTGTCATTCAAGATATAAGAAGCAGCAAAGCTTAACAAACTGTAATTCACTAGTTCTAAAGCAGAATTGTTTCTTGATAATAAATCCTTCCGAGACACTAACAACTCTACCAGCTTGCTGACAGGTTTTTGTGCAATACAGAATTCAGGAAATTAATACTTTTTGTCGAATTTAAATTTCTAAGAAAATTAATGATTTTAATGATTTTCTCAGACCACTGAAATATGTTTGGGAATAAATACAAGAAAATGTCTCTGTGGCCAGAAGTGTCCCTAGCTTTTTCCGATGAACCTATTCAAACATATAATATAAATAACTTCACAATGGATGAATGCAAAGAAATACCAAGCTTTTAAAAAGTCATTTGATAACTACACTGGAGACTAAAGGATGTCCAACAGCAATCACATCAATAAGATCAAACACAATATACCCAGTAAATGAACAATGAAATTAGATTACATCCATGAATGGATTTTTTTTAGAAAAATATATACAGCATCATGACTAGCAGGAAAATTTTAGTTTTCTTTTCCAGTAGGAACATATTACACAGCTAAAATCTATGTTAAATTTTCAAGTTAGAAGTTTTTCATTCATACTAAGAGACAGATTTATTCTTACATATGGCCATTAGCCTAAAATGCTTTCAAAGTAAATCGGAGAAGCTGAATCTCCATTAAAGGAAACAGCTGCTATACAACAACAATAACAAGATTACATTTGTGTACATGAATTACATTCATGTCGGGAGGACATCCCAAGGCCAAACTACAGTATATAGATTTACTTTAAAAAATATTTACTACATGCAGGGTAAGGATTCAAGAACAATTTAAAATGTACAGATTAAACAATAAAAGTAACAGTATTAATTATCTAAAGTTGTGTTGGGTCTACACTACATGCATTAGAATATAAAAATAAGTGTTAATATACACAATGGTGAAAACATTTATCATATAGGATTGTTTTGTAGATGGGTCCACTGTACAAAATAAACATTAGCTCTTTGCTAGCTATTTTAATTGTTAAACGAGTATGAACTCACTCTGGCATTGCTTTAAAAAAAACTTTTATGTTTATTAGCTTTATTATTTAGGTAAAAATAATGCAAGGGAACTTCAATGCTTGTTTTACTTCTTTGTATACAGAAGCTTCAAATCCTTTTAGCTAAGATTTCATTCAACATTCCACCAGATACCTAGATCTTTTCTAAGCCCCAGAAGAAATGAGAGAAATGTCCCACACTGTATGTCCTCAACTGAGCTGAGCAAATGTCAGTTGTGCAAACTGTACATAATTTCCAGTTAGCTGTCCAATAAACAAGATTGAATGTACTTGAAGCTGGATTTCTGTAGCACCCCCCCAATGAGATTTCATCTGTTCAGGGTTTCAAATTTCAGCATAGAAACCCAGTTTCATTATGAACTATTCATAGAAAACTTTTTTTTACTTTGAACAATTAAAACGATTGTAAAAGATGTCAACAAATTAGGCAAGAAATTCTCACTTTTCTTCAAGTGACATACATGTGTGGATGAAAGCATTATGTACTGCAGAGTAACATCCAATATTCAAATTTACCCAAGTAAGAGTTATTCATGTTTGCTACATTAGCTATAGTTGTAGGCCCACATATAGGTCTATGCATGGACCTTTTAGTTTCCAAACAAACACACACACAGTCCCATTATTCATAGAATCCCATCCTATGTTATACGATGCACAGTAACGGGTTTGGCTGCACGCATTACTTGTTGCTTCCAGCAAAGTAGAATGCGATGGAGGCACTGACCCGACAACTTGGAAATTGGCTATTTTGAGTGAAAAGTTGATCAACGCAAGGGAAGCAAGCGGGTCAGCTGTGTGCATGTGCAGTGAATGGGGTCCGCAATGCAACCATGTTATAACGAAATGTACACTACGGTGCAGCGTGTTTTAACTGGGCGGCGGTGTACATGTCTCCAGCAGTGTATGCAAAATGTTTTCAATTTCAATGTGGAGCCTGTAGCTCAGTGGTTAGAGCAGTTGCCTCGCAAGCAAGAGACCTGGGTTCGATTCCTGGCAAGGCAAAACCTTGGGCAAGTTTCCACCCGCCTGATAATAATCCCTCAAGAAAAATAAAAAAAAAAAATTGGTCGCTTCAATCCACGACTGCTTGTGGGACACTGCTGTGCGCAATTGTCTGCCGCGTTTCGCCCACAAATAAAGTCAATTCACTTTACAGCATATTCTGTGAAGCGCTTTGAGATGCTAGAAGACGTGAAAAGCGCTATATCAAATGCAAGGATTATTATTATTATTATTTTAAAAAAACAATTATATGTGAGAGACTGAATGATATGGGTCAGTAATAATAATCATCCATGCATTTGATTTAGTGTCTTCGAGACGTCCCAAAGCGCTTCACAGAATATACGGTAAAGTATTTTGTGTGTATTTTGTGTACACTATGGTGTGTAATAATACACCAGTTCATATTTATATTAAGACAATTTCACATCTAGGTAAGATGAAAAGATGAAGAATCACTCATCTCCACAAAGAATTTAATACAAATTGAGCGAAACTCTCCATCTAGTGTTTTATTCTTCTCCTGATCTGGGAGTGTTTGGGTGCCAAAAATGGAAAGGTGTTCCATTTCCTACCCCACCCATGTTGACACCCAACAACTTTAAATAAGTCCAAGAGCAATAATATTACAATAAAATAGTGTACTATACCTTGTATTAATATTTAGTACTATACCATAGCAGTTATCGCATACAAACTATAATACTTTCACCCAGTTTTACCACAATTCCTATTATGACATTGATATATTCTTAAAGTCTGAACTTAATCTTCAAAATCAAGGCACTACTTAATGATCCTAATGAAAACTATGCAATAATTCTAACCTATTACAAAAATAAACTTACCAATTGTTGCAGCAAGCTCTGGGTCGAAGGTATCATCTGTAAACCGTAGCAGCAGACTGTAAAGATTAATAGAAAAGAGCGTTATATGACACATAAATCTCAAAGATTTTACTGATGTCTAACATACATTTTCAGAATTGTTGAAATTGTAGAATTTCATAATTGTGTGGAGATAACTAAGGGTCAAACAACTCTGAGAAAACTCACAGAAGTGACATGCGATTATGCAATAAAATTCTTATTGCTCAGTAAAATATCAACACCATGATGCTTCACTTGTGTAGTAGGCATTTAAACAAGAGATTTCTTCTTCAAAAATAACATATATAGTAGAAGGTATGTCTAATTTAATAGCTATGCATGTGTGGAAAAAGGTTTGATGATTTATTACAATTTACTACTCCCTATATAAAGTAGCTTTACATGCAGTAGACTCACACAAGTTGCATCAATCGGGACCAAACCATTTAATATGACTTACGCGAAGTCCGAGTTCCTGCCAAACTATACAAGTCGTATAAAAACCAATTTAATCAATAATCTACACTGCGCATTTATAATTCAATGCAGCTGGTAAATGTGCATTCCATACTTAGTCACTGTAACCATTAGGTGCGCATGCAGTGACGAGTCAAGACTAAGTTTCCCTGTGATTCAATGTCCCAACATTGACCCAATGCCGCAGGCGCAGTTACCGGCAAGCATTGGAATTGCATTAAATTATCAGAAATGAAGTTCTGCTCTGCATGCGTCAACAGATCAATTTGTTGTCGTGATTCAATGTAGCCGGCTGGTAAGTGCATATGCGTCAACGGGTCATGGAGTCATTTCCTACAATTCAATGCAATTGGTAATTGCGGGAGTAATGGAGGGTAGAGGAGCGGCATTACAAGCTCAGAAGTGATTAATATGAGTAGTGCAAAGAAATCTAAGTGGTTCTGATAGGAAACTGAATGCGACTTAGTTTCATGTACGACTCATATAATTTATAAAGATAAGACTTATACACTATAAGTTTTACTCTATTCTGGTAGCTCTGTAATTCATACTACACTAGTTCTGAATTGAATATGCTCGTTTCAAGGTCATATTTAGTTTGCATTTTCTTTATGCATACCTTATAATAATAATAATCCTTGCATTTGATATAGCGCTTTTCACGTCAGGAGGACGTCCCAAAGCGCTTCACAGAACACACTGTAAAGTGAATTGACTGTATATTTGTGGGCGAACGCGGCAGCCAATTGCGCACAGCAATGTCCCACATACAGTCGTAGATTGAAAATGACCAATTTATTATTGTTTTGTTTTTTGGAGGGATTATTATTAGGTGTGTGGAGTAAGGAAACTTGCCCAAGGTTTCGCCCGGCCTGGAATTGAACTCAGGTCAGGACTCCACATATATATAATATAAAATACATTGGGGGCCAATAGCTTATGCAAAATCAGTCAGTGTGATGGTTGCATAACTTGAAAACAGTTACGAAGGCCTCGACATAAGCGATTTGTTTTGCATGTTCATAGCTAAAGGTTACAGTTGTATCAGGTGATGTGCCTCTGGAGATACTGTACTGCCAATTTAAAGCTGAAAGAATTGACATCATATTACAAGCTTCATAAAACTCTGCTGGCAACTACTGTATTTTCCCTTCCCCTATCCCGAAAGAGGCAAGTCACGCTGAAGTTAATCTCCACGTGCACCAGTAGCAATCTAGAATCTTGCCCGAGCAGTCATTGTAGTAAAAAATCGAGACAGTCAATAACAGTCCAGCCCAATCCTGTCCACACCCAATGTTTAGCAGGAGTGACTGGAAATTGAACCATCACAGATATTTTAAATCTCCTTTCCACCTAGCCTGCTTGCATCACTGAAGTCACTGTTGTGACCATATCATTACCAAGCCTTAAATGTGTTAATTAAGCAAGTATGAAGCCCGAAACATCACTGATCTGTATGATTCTTGTATTTTGCAATAATTCCTTTTGCAATTGGATGATGCCCAAGCCCTTCACAGCTTTATATTGTACAGTGCTTTGAGGGTGAAAGTAGCAGTCAAGATTCCTGACCCAATAAGGCAAGACACCACAACGTTTATACAAATTAACTTTAAATCAAGAACAGGAACATTTGATATTCAGTCCATTAAATATACTAACACTTAGACACTAGTGCAATTGTGGTGGTAACAGTTGTCTCAGGAAATTTTGATCAGGAAGCGAATCGTTGGTCCTGTTTGCACCATAGTTCACAACTGAGCAAGAAAAGTAACAAAGCTAAAAGCAAAGTTGACCGTTAGCAAGAGAGAAAGCGTGATCAGGAAAGTGGAACTGGAGGAAATGCCTTGAATGGTTGCTGAAGTATTTTTAAAGGCAAAACAAATGGGGTGAAGAAAGAGCTTCACCATTTCATCCAGACAGTCTGAAGAAAGTGCTTCAGGGTTGGAAACTGGCAGCATGACACAAAGAAGGGAACAGAAACAAGAGTACAATAATTGTACAGCAACAGTCTGTTTCGGCAAAAATGTTTGTTGTATTGTTCCTGAGTAACACACATGAACGTCCGTCAGCCTGAAAATCTGCTGGAAATTCAATGCAGCTTCAGATATCAAGATTGACTCGCTTGCTGACCAGATCATAATAACAACAACAAATTACATTTGTATAGCGCCCTCATGTCAGGAGGACATCCCAAGGCGCCGGACAGTCAGAGATCCACACCCGAGCTGGTGGTTGGGATCAGCAGGGGTGGGGGGCAGGGAGGGTAGGGGTAGGAGGGTGACCAAAGGCACAGTCGAAGAGGAGCGTCTTGAGACCAGTCTTGAAGGAGGCAAGGGAGGGGCCGAGACAGAGGGACTGTGGGATGGAATTCCAGAGCGTGCGGGCAGATAGGGCTTTGAATGTGAGGACCAGGATCTTGAACTGTATCCTCCAAGTGATGGGTAACCAGTGGAGTCAGGTGAGGATGGGGGTGATAGGTCCCGCAGAGCCTGTTTTTTTTTTGAAAAGTAAGTTCAGCATTCGAACCTAAACTAACCTTTCTGATAACCTGTTGCAGTCATTAATTATGCTGTGGGTAAAGAATTTTTCTGATACCTGTCCTGAAATTGTGCTTTGGAACCCTAAACCCCCAACCCCAGCTCGGGGCTGAAATCCTGTCCTCTGTCCAGCGCCTTGGGACGTTCTCCCGACCTGAAAGGTGCTATACAAATGTAATCTTGTTGTTCTTATTTTGCTGTCTCAATCTCATTTATATATTTTTTATATATCTTCTAAGACATCACCTTTAAAGACTAAGTCCAAACTTGTCTAATCATTGTTTGTAGTTAATTTCTCTAACACTCAGGATCATCTCTCCTCTACACTGCCTTTAGGGCTTGGGCAACTCCCTTACATCCAAAATTGCTTATTGCTGCATGTATCTCCTCTTCTTACTTCCTATGTGCAGTGCAATGCATTTATCTGTATTGAACTTAATTTGCCAGTCATCAGCCCACATTTGCAATTGGCTGCCGCTTTTCACTCACAGAATATACAGTCAATTCACTTTACAGTATATTCTGTAAAGCAGTTTGACACGTCTCGAAGACGTGATAAACGCGAGGAGCTGTATAAAATGCAAAGATTATTATTACGGCAGCCCCAATTCTCGATATTTCCTTGAAATATTATTCAATGCGTGTTGTTGCGTTTTACTGTTCCAAATAAATAAAACTGAAGGCTGATCAGATGCCTGGCTGAAAAGGAAGGGGGGAGAAGCCCAGATCAGATGCGAGTATTAACATGCATTAACAGGTATAATAGACTGCACAATAAATTTAAAGTGTATTTTTTTGTTGTATGAGAGCTTGTTGTGCGAAGTTACCTGTGCTGTTCAGATGGAGATAGTTAATTTCCTTTTATGGAACAAAGTTTGATGTTACATTTGTAATTGTAAACCTGCACAAATCCGCCCCCCACCCCCACTCGTGGAGTCCTGTAGCTTAATGGTTAGAGCACTCGCCTCGCAAGCAAGAGGACCTGGGCTCGATTCCCAGGGGGACAAAACATTGACCAAGTTTCCGTATTCCGCCCGTCTCTGTTTATCTAATAGTAGTAGAAACCCGGCTGTTAATCGATTGACGGATCACTTTTCCGGGGGTAATAATCCTATCAAAAATAAATAATTTGGTCTCTCGGTACCACAAGTGTTTCTGGCTGCCGCGCAATTGGCTTCACGCAGTATATTTTGTGAAGCGCTTTGAAACGTCTCAAAGACGTGATAAGGCGCTATATCAAAATGCAAGGATTATTATTATTGCAAAGCGTTTCAAGCCATTTTTATCCTAGATAAGTCACTATAAAAAGTAAGTTGTTCCGCTGCTTTTTGTTACCCATTTAATATGGGGATAGATCATATGATAAGTAGAATCACTGAATGCGGTGAGCCTGAAAGAGGAAGTGCAGCAGTATGTAGTGTAGCATGCAGATGATGTTGTTCTACTTGGTGGAGTTCACATCATGGTTTCTTTGAAGTGGTGATAAATGTTAGTTTGCATCCTGCTTTCCCATACAACAACAACCTATGTTTGTACAGCGCCTTTCAAGTCAGTAGGAAATCCCAAATCTGGGGATTGGGATGTGGAGGGGTTGGAGGGCAGGGGAAGGAGGGTAACCGAAGGCACGGTCGAAGAGGAAAGTCTTGAGACGGGCCTTGAAGGAGGCAAAGGAGCAGAAAAAAAGGACTGTGGGATGCAGTTCCAAAGGATCGGGGCAGAAAGGCTGTAGGCCCGACTGCCAATGGTGGATGGGCAGGACAGGGTACGTGGAACAGGCCAGAGTCTGTCGAGCGGAGAGAGCAGACAGGCCGGTATGGAGTTAGCAGTTACCACCTATTTTTTGAATTCCAGTATTTATTCAAACCTAGTTTGTTGATACTTCTATGTTGCTTTCGAAATTACAATACAAATAACCATTTGTACAGTGCCTTTCACATTGGTAGGATGTCCCAAGATGCTTTTTGTAAATAAAGTTACACAAAAAAAAGCTGCGGTCATCACAGTTGTGATTATCTAAACTGATTGCCGCCAACAACCCATGACCGAGCATAACAAATCAAGCCTTAGTTATGTTTTGCAAGAGGGTATTTGCTGCTCAACACCTCAAAATAGATTTGGCATGAAGCAAAATATTTTCTGCTCAAAGCAGGAGGATATATGTAGATCAAGTTCCTACACTAGAAAAGTTGGCCAGTAGTCATATTATGAACAATGACATTGCACACAACATCAAAAGGCCCTGATTTTGTAAGTAAAGGACAAATCATTAGGTACATACCATGGATATTCATGTTTTCACAAGCACATGTTATATACGCTATTGGGCTGGCGGTTATTTGCACTCTTTAGAAACTATTTAAAAAATATGTCCAAAATCCATGCTGCTAATTTGATGTCAGAAGTTTCAGATTAAACTGCAAATTAACATCCTGCAAGACAATGGTGCAATAAAAATAATCCTTCTCCCAAACCTTTCACTCTTCAAAATAAAAACACACCTTGCTGATGGTTCAGAATATTTATGTCACTTATTGAAGTACAAAAGTTGAATAACAATGTTGTGTTTATTCTAAATGTCTAACTTTGCCTGTTGTCGTTTTTACAGCACAGAAACAGGCCATCTGGCCCAACCAGTCTGTGGCTGATGTTTATACTCCATATAAGTCTCCAGCCACTCCTTACTTTCTCCCATTTCTTCTTTCTTCTATTCCCTTCTCCGTCAAATGAATTTTTTGGACTGGCTATTTTTCTAGGGTACTCAGGATCCAAAATTAGTTGAATGTTTATTCTGAAAATAAAGTATAATCTACTGTATCTCCGTAGACAACCACCAGCTCTCAATTACCTATTGTTACCCTGTTTTATTCAGTAGTAAGATTTTTTTTTGTTTTTGTTTTTACAGACAATTTGTGTTGGAACACGTTTTTAAACCCACACCATGAACATTATTGTTAATAATAATAATAATAATCCTTGCATTTGATATAGCGCTTTTCACGTCAGGAGGACGTCCCAAAGCGCTTCACACTGTAAAGTGAATTGACTGTATATAATAATTATATCAGCACGACGTGCTATAGCCAAGAGGCCAGATCATCATGTAACATTCTAAACTTTGCACTTCTGAAAGCTTCATAGCCAATTTCAGAATTGTCATGTTGCTTAGCACGAGTGAACGGGTTCTATGATTTATAGTGATTTCAAAATATCTAAGGCCTTTAAGCAAGCTCTACTTCTGTTAACGTAAAACTGACACAAGTAAGGTAGAACTAAAACAACCAAGAAATAATGTGCATACCCAAAGTTCAGAAGGTTGATGGGAAAATTGATGAACATGGAGAGAATAAAGAACAACAGATGGCATTTAAATAGCGCCTTTCAGTTCAGGAGGATATCCAACGGCACAGGACAGTCGAGGGTTTGCAGACGAGCTGGGAGTTGGATTCGGGTAAGTGCGGGCGAAAAGATGACCAAACGTGCAGTCAAAGTGGAAAGTCTTGAGACAGACCCTGAAGGAGGTCAAGCCGGAGGGACTCTAGGATGGAGTACCAGAGAGTGGGGGGAAAAGGGCTGAAAGGCCAACCATCAGAACAAAGCAACAATGAAGAGGAAGAGGTTGAACTAGGAAAAACATTAGAAAAAATGAGAAAGATGTATAAATCAAAGGAAATATTCCTGGGAGTGGTAGTACTTCAAAAAGATAGGCATTATCTACTCTGGGAGTGATGTCAACCATTAATACTTCCCTGAATTTCAAGTGACAACAATAAATGAATTTCCAACTCTGTGAAATGATGAACAACAAATTCCATCTGTCCTCAGCCCTTAGTTCCTTTTAAATCTACATTGAGAGGGTGTTCTGCACAAAATGTCTGCTGGCAGGCTGTTTCTAATAAGCAGTCTGAAGTAAAAAAACATTGTAACATTGCATCTGAAAAACAACAGACTCTATATTGATTCCGGGTAAATGAGAAAAATATACTTTAATAAATCTAATAACTATCAATGTAGTTTTCAGATTAAGTGCGAATGTATGTATGTTTACTGATTAATTCAGTAAGCAAACAGAGCAATGAAACATTGTCTACCACCGCTGAAAAATAAGACTTTATACACAGAGTATCAACATCCTTAGAAGCTGGAACCTAAAACTAGCCCCAGTAGCTCTGCATGCCTGTTAACTTATTCTTTAATCCTCGCAAACCATTTTTTCCAATTCTGCAATCTGGAGTGAGCTGAAAGTCACTTCGTATAGAGATACTAGAGATTGTAAAGCCCGTTCAGCATTTACAAAAACCCAAATCAAATGTTTCCACCATTGCTTTTAACTTGGGAAGGAATAATCAGAAACAACTTGTCACTTTGAAACATCTCAAAATATAATTATTGTCAAAATGGTATTGACCATCTTTTGTAGACAAGCATTAACATCTTAATATTACACCCAGTTTACTAGTAGCAAAGCACATTTTATGTCTCACTGCAGTTTTCACAACCGCTTCAAACTCACATCCCAGACAGACTGCTTAATAATTAACAATATCATGTATTACTGCAGGCTTTGCCATCCATGTCTGTTCAAAGTCAAGGAGAAACCCTGCTAACCTACAATAATATTCCTTGCACTTGATATCACATCTTGTCACATCATCAGAAAGTTACTGCATGTGATTTTTTACTGTGAAAGTGCGGCCCTTTGCAAGAAGGATATCTCTTAAGAATTGGTAAAGCACTCGTTGTGTGAACCTTGAAAGTGTGAAGGGCCGAGCAGAACCAACAAGGTTAGCAGGTTAGTGTCAGGCAGATCCTGGTGTGGCTCGTCTGTGACAGACAGACACATTTGCTGCCATCTACACCCGATCCAAGACGTGATAACAAGGCGCAAATGCAAGGATTGTTGTTGTTATTATTATCATTATTCTATTATCATTATATTAAAAAGTCACAGGTAAAGCTGGCGCCGACCGTGACAGCGCGGGGGCGGGCGGTGCGGTGCGGGTACGGTTCGGGGTGGGTTGAAAGGGGGAAGAGAGACGGTCAGCACTTGGCTCCATTTTGGACAGCCCGGTTTGGAAGCATAGGCCGAGCCTGGAGCCGCGGCGCTCACAACAACAACAACAAGATTCCATTTATAAAGCGCCTTTCACGTCAGGAGGACGTCCCAAGTCGATGCACAGTTGGGTCATGACCCGAGCATTGGGGGGAAATGGTCAGGGGGAGGGGAGGGAGCGAGGAGGGGGAAATGGTCAGGGTGAGGAGGGAGGAGGAGGGGAAATGGTCAGGGTGAGGGAGGGAGCGAGGAGGGGGAAGAGAGTCGAGAGTCACAGTCACCGCGACTCCCCCTCCTCCCTCCCCGGGCACCATCTCCAACCGCCGCCGAGGCCCTCAACCCCCGGGGCCATTAGCCACCCACAGACTTGAGCGCCAGCTCACCTCGACTTGCCCACTCCGCTCTCGCCGATGATTAAAATCTTGAGCGTGGTCAGCACGTCCTCGTCCATCTCTGCTGCCGCTGCCGCTCCTGTCTGTCCGTCCGTCCCGCCCTCAACTGCCGATTTCGCAATCAACCGCCGGCCGCTCTCACGACAGCAGCGCTCGCGCCCCGGGTTGACAAACGGCTGTCCAGCGAGCGCGTCTCACTTTACGGCAGAAGGGCACCGGCGGAACGTGACGCCAACGGAGGGGCGGGAGGACGGCGGCGGCGTGGTTGACGTAGGCGCTGACCAATCACGTGACAGGCTCCTCCTCTGGGTGAGACCGCTGCCCAAATTATTCATCTCGCGCTGTGCGGCCGGGCTGCGCGGTCGCGGTGTTGCCGGGCAACACGATTGGGGCTGGTGTGACTCACATTGTGCGCAGGAGTCAATGGCTTCGGGCGGGTGTTTGAGTTGTGTCACATGCGGTTTCATATCCGGGGTGTAGCGCTGCCGGGGCGCCCCCGCCCTCCCCCTGCCCCGCCCACCCCGCCTTGACAACCAGACCGGAACTGCGTACTGCTGAAAGGGGAAAGAGAGTTGATGGACAAGCGGATGGTCCAATGGGAGCGCGGGCCGGGATAATGGACAGGCAAGTGGCCCAATGGCAGTGCGGGGCGCGTTGCTAATGCTGATGGACATTGGCCGCTGGTTCGGGTCGAAGTTGGCCCTCTGGTTCTCAAACCTTTACCTCCCCCTCCCCTTCCCCCGACCCACTCACGACCACTCCCCCCCCCCCCCCACCTCCCCCCCCAGGCTCAGGAAGTGCACAGGGAAGAGCTTACGACGGCCTCTGTAGGGTCGCTCTCCGGGTGTCCTGACGCGTGTGGAAACCCATCAACAACAACAGCTTGGACTTGTGCCGCTCCCTCCACGCCGGACGGCGTCTCAGAGCGCTTCACAGTTTAGGATCCTGGGACCGAGCCGGGGGAGGGGGGGGAAGGTGACCGCGCCTGCGCCTGCGGTCACCAAACTGAGAATTCCGCGCATCTGACCCGACATGTGGAAATCCCAGAGCCGGACTGTCCCTCCCACGTGGAAGGCACTAAACGAACGTCACTCGTTGTTGTTGGAGTGCAATGCGCGCCCGCTCCGTGGAGGCACACGTACATCCCGCTTACCCAATTCCGAGACGTATTAGGCGCAGGTTGGCAAGAGCCAAGGCTTGGGGACCCCAGAGCGCACGTTGAGCTCCGGCTGGAGTATTAACCAGCTGAAACCGCACAGCTTGCCATTAATGTCGCCGTCTGGCAAGCTTTCCAGCTGCTTGTCCAGCCGGGACCACCATACCCGGCCAAGCATGTCACCTTGCAATGCACGCGCTCTTACTCTGCTTACATCCTCTCCCTGCCACCCCCCCCAGGAGGATGTAATAATCATAATCATAATCCTTGTGTTTGATAAAGCGCCTTATCACGTCTCAAAGCACTTCATAGAATATACTGTAAAGTGAATTGACTGTATATTTTGTGGGTGTAGCGCGGCAGCCAATTGCGCAAAGGATAGCCATCAGTTGGAGGTGCGGAGTTCAGGCAGCAGCTGCTTGCCTCTCTGCAAGGCAATCAAAGTGGATTCCAGGCACTGAAAGTGCAAATGTGTGTTCACAAACTCAGGCTCCAGGTATCGCCCTCCAGCAGCTGTCCCCCAAGCTCCAAGTTTCCTTATCAGCTACCTGGTCGGCATCTGGCACTCGACTCGCAAGCGAGATGCCTTCAAAAAAATAATAATAATAAATTGGTCACTTCAGTCCATGACTGTTTGTTGGACACTGCTGTGCGCAATTGGCTGCAGTGTTTTGCCCACAAAATATATAATCAATTCATTTACAGTATATTCTGTGAAGCGCTTTGATAAGTCTCGAAGACATAAGGTGCTATATCGAATGCAAGGATTATTATTATTTAGTGTATCTAGAACCTTAGCCTCACTTATAACAAAGTCCTGGAGCTCAAACAATGCTCACTGGATGTTGGACAGCAGCTTTTTAGCACCGACAGCAGGTTTTTTTTGTGCCCTAACATTGCCATGGGATTTTTACTCGTTGATTTGCAATTAATTGTATTGTTTTAGCACATAAGAATTAATTCTTTTGGTCAGCCATTTTTTTGTGCGGGGTTGTTGGCCAGCACACTGGGAGAGGTTCCCTTCTCTTTTTGAATAGTGCCATGGGATCTTTAACCTGGTCAGGTAGGCGGGTCCTCAGTTTAACATATCATCAGTGAAGGCACTTCTTATTTCGCGAGGACCACTTAGTGGTTTAGCTGGCAGGGATAACAGGAGCTGAGTCAGGAGAATTTGTGCCCTCAGTTTGGCCCCTCCAAGTCCTGCCGATGAGCCAACAGTAAAAGCAGATCTAGTTGGTTTGAAATTAAAAAAGCATTTGGTCACTGGCCTTTTTTTCAGACTGCAATGCTTAGCCATTCTGCAAATCTCATAATCTGATATTCTCAAAGTGGAAGTCCTAATTAATTGCAAATATAGATTTTTAGAAATCACTGCCAATTAGGGGATATGGTTTCTACGTTTCTGGACAATACCTAACTTGAAAGTGTGAATAGCGATGAGGATGACAAGAGACTGTAAGAAGACTGCATTGTTATAAAACTGCATTATGGCTCTTGTTGTACCTGAATTCCAGTAATTCTTTTACATTTTTAAATAAAAAGTCAATAGCCATTATTTTGTTTCACATTTTTGATTTATGCAAACCATCTGCAAACATTTTGTATTAACAACTGGTATTGTTTTGAATAATTTCTTCTTGTGATGTCAACAACAACAACAACTTGGATTTATATAGCGCCCTCCACGCCGGACGGCGTCTCAGAGCGCTTCATAGTAATGGATCCCGGGACCGAGCCAGGGGGAGGGGGAGGAAGGTGACCAAAGGCGTGGTTGAAAAGAAAGATCTTCAGCAGAGACCTGAAAATAGGAAGAGAGGGGGCGAGGCGAAGAGAGTGAGGAAGGGAGTTCCAATGTCCTTTGAGACGTTATCCTACGTGAAAGTTTCTACTGTTTACTCTATATAATTGCACACAGTTGGGACCGGACAGAAGGCATGCAATTATACAGAGTATACAATTACCTGGGCCGTTAGAAAAGTGTGGAAATATTCGCCCAAAAATTGCGGAGTGCCTTGCGGAGGTTAGCAGAGAGATTTGTTGAGGTTTGCTGGAACATTGTGGGGGTTGCCTGGTGCTATTGAGAGATGCAATTTGCTGCTAACCTACATTTTTTCTCTTCTAATTTTTAAAAACTAAACTAGAAATAACACATCATATATCATTGTAAAAGAACAATGTATTAATGTTTTCTTTAACAAAAACAGAACATAACACCTTTCAAAAGATGCAAACGTGCAGTTTGCAGAGAAATTAAAATTTTCTAACTTAAATTTTCACAGAAACAAACAAAAATTCTCAGCCAAAAGTTTAGTGCTGGTTAAATTTTAACATGAGAAGACTCTTTATATATTCTTCTGTTAGGCTTTGTCTATTATCCTTGAGAAGGTCTGAATAAACAGAAAATGGTCTTTCAACGTCAACTGTGCTCACTGGTAGCCAAATGTACCTTTTTGCAATTTTATCAAGCTTCACAAGTGGCTCAGGCTGAGCTCCTCACCATGCTGCTATTTTGTGGTTAGCTGGGATATTTTCTCCAGCTGCTTTATAAGCATGCCATTCGAAGTTTGAAATAGTTGAAGGCCAGGAATCACATTACTGTATAAGTCTTTTTCTGCATCCGTTGTTGCTATCTGGTGAGGATCAAAAATTCGAACTGCTTTATAGGTAGCAATTGATGGCTTTTTCATAATTAGTCCCAATTTTTCGCTGCTGTCTTGCACGATTCTCTGGAAAGGGTTGGCACACGCCTCTCTCTCACTCTGTGCTCCCGTAGTGGTACAGAAATCAATAAACAAATGTAAATTTTGCACACGTTAAGTACAGATTGTGGCCCTGATGCACAGCTGTTGCCTGACATTCCTCAGTGAGTTTTATGAGCTCAGATGAGTACTCTGTGACAAAGGTTGCTCGGGCTTGCAACTCTGCAGCATTATTGTTCAAGAGCGTTTTCATTTTTTTCACTGCTAAGGCCTCTGATGCAATTCCTTGAAGATATTCTGCCAAGACAGGCAAGTACTCATAGAAATATTCATCAGTCTTCACCCAGGAGTACCAACACATCTGAACAGCAAAGACTAGCATCTGAAATTTAATTCTATCCTTCGTCTCCATAAATTCCAAGTACTGATGTTGGCGCAATGGACTTTTGCAGAAGACTTTCTTGACCATAGCGACCACTGTGTTTAAGTCCTCCAGAATAACAGGCCAAATTTCCCAAATCAAGTTCGGAAGATAAGCAATGCATGCAATATGTATTGGATTAGGAAACAATCCCGACAGTATTGTATTAAATGCTTTGATCACGTAGTGACAACTGCAAGCACTTTATCAAAGTTACATTTTTACATTTTTACATTTAAGACTCTTAGAAGAGCTTGGTTGACTCGCTGGAAGAATTCTACTCCAATAAGAAGAGGTCTGTCCCCAGCTTTCTGCAGTGGCTGTGCCAGCACTGCCAGAACATTGCACCCACTGGAATCAGTGGTCTCATCCAGGAACAAGTACACATCCGTGTCCTCAACGTATTTCTTCAAAAATGCTTCATGCTCAGCAATAAGCTCCTTCAAGTATGTATTACGAAGATGTGATGGTGTCGGAATAGTCCCTCCCTGTTTTGTGTATTTGCCTAGAAACTCTTGGAAGGCAGGAGCTTTTTCAAGCGGTGTGAAACACCACACATGGAAAGAGTCCAATATGAATTATTTCCTTTCCATGGATGATGCAATGGCTCTAGAGAAGCAGGTTGTCAGAGCAAGTCGTCTTTGAGGTCCAGATCCACTCAGAAAGGAAAAAATAAAAATTGATCTTCATGATATATTTGTCATTAGAAATGTTCAGTCTATTTGTTTTTGTTTGCTGTGGATGTTTTATGTGCTTTGAAAATTCGATCATAAAGGAGGGAGATTAGCTTTTGTCATACAATCATACAAATCAAGATTTTCTTTCAAAATGAAAGTGAAAGCAAATACTGATACATTTTCATTTAATATTATATATAGTAAAAATATTTTACCTTCATTGTTA